GAATCTTCATATTTTTGAAAAATTGTATATATCCCAAATATGGTAACTTCCTAAGAATATAATTTCAATGGGATGTTTTTCTTTGGTTTAAAATAGTCACAGTAAAGTTTTCATCTTTTCTTCATTGTACAGAATGATGCCTGATATATTTTAAGTTTCCAGTTCTTATCAAAATTCAGGAATGAGATGTAGTTTCACTTAAAACCTTAAGAAATATGATGTTCAATCATTTATATCACGGAACCTTCCAACAAATAAAGTTGTACCTGGAAATAGAAGGAGAAGGCAGCAAAACTCATCGCAATGCAAAATGTAATGAAACCACCTTTAGATATCCAATGGTAATGGGAAGAAAAATCCACAATAAATCAACAAGAAATAAAGAAGCATGGTTGAATCCCCAAACAGAGAGTGTATAAAGTCAGCACCAGAAACACATTCTAAAAGAAAACTTGGTGAACTGCTTTTCATCTACAATCCAGAAAATCTGTTTATTAAACCTATTGGCTTAAATACAAATGCTACTGGCCATACGAATTTACTGTCACAGCTCACAGCTGTTGCCACCTCTGCTTCACCTCATTAGTTATTATGGATCTCTCAAATTATAAGGTTGGCTGTAATTTTATGCATTTGAAAGAACATCTTGCCTCACTTCACACCTATTTTATGTTCAACATTTTTTAAAGTTCAAAGATTTTTTTAGAAGAAATTCAGTTGCTTTCAATTAAAACTAAGTTGCAAAACAAATTTATTGGCTAGGGATTGGGTTAAGCTTCAGTAACAGCCACAGGGTCCAACTCAGGCTGCACTGAATCCGTGGGAACATCAGTATACAGATGGCTTCCCAGCTTTCTTCATTTTACTTTGTTGTTAAATGAAAATAATCGAGCCAGATGTGGTTGTGCAACCTTTATTCCTGAGACACAGGTGGCTACAGCATGAGGATTACTGATATGAGGTTATATAGAACGATAAAATACCCAGAACTGATACTGAAGTTCAAGCTTCAACCTGAAGATCACAGAAGCAAAAAAAAAACTCCTGCCTCTGCCTCAGGCTGAAAGGTGATCCTGGCTGCACCAAACCTCAGACTGTAATCATTGATTGTTTTGATCTCCTCAAAGTGTCTGGAGATTTCAATACCTTCCCATCTGCAAAGTTTTGGAGACTCTGAGACTCTGCCAACTCTGAGACCTTGCACCTATCTTTAAACTTCTCTAATGTTGGGATTGAAGGCATGTGATCCCAGGTGCTGGGATCATAGGCATGAGCTCTGTTACTCTTCATTCTTGTGTAGGCCATTGTGGCCTTGAAATAACAATGATCTGTTTACCTGTTAATCTTGAGTTTTAGGATTAAAGGTGTGTGCCACTATCTCCTAGTTTCTGAGTGCTGGAATTAAAGGGGTATACCACCACTGCCTGATCTCTATAGCTTAAGGCTGATTTTGCCTTCTGAATCCTCAGGCAAACTTTAATAAATCTTAAATAAAATGTCTCCTCAATGTTATTTTGGCCTATATAGCAAGAATTATGGTAACCATTGAGACACTGTCTATTTGTAAATAATATTGGTCTGATATTAAAATTACTAATCTCTGTAAATTACATTTATCATTGTCTTGTGAAACTAAAATTAGCTTCAATATATAGTCACCATCCATTTGAACAATGAAAATAAAAATTTCACTGTATACAGTTGTGAGAAACAAATTTTTTGAAAAAATTAGCTCTGGAGTCAGAAAGCAAATACTTATTGTGGCTACACTGACCTAGTAATTGATAAGATGATGATCTATTTTACACAATGAAGCCACTCCTAGAAATGTTATATATGGTTGGGGTCTCTATCTAGTGTGTCTTAGGAAAAAATAAGAGAGAGACTTTACTATGTTTAATGTTTTGTTTAACAACATAAAATTAAAATCGCAATTTTGAACTCAGATTCTACAGATGAGTTATCATGAGAACATCTTGAGTTTTGTATGTCACCCATATAAATAGTTCCTTTCTCTTCGTGAATCATTCCCACAAAAGTTTATGCTACTGATCTGTTTCAGATTATTGTTTAAAATTCAAAGGAGGAAAATCAATATTGATTTTGAAATCCAATTTCAGGAACACAGAAATGACTTCTGTGTTAAGTGTTTAAAACATTTTTTCTGGTCATTTGCAGTAATTCAATATATTTATTACAAATTGGTCCCTTAGAATGTTCTAACTCTGTGCTGAAAATAGACCATGGATGCTAAGTAAAAGCATGTTATATCTGGACCTTGACAAATCATGGGGCATCATTTTTATTGAGGGCAGTGTTGAAATATAGACCATAAAGTTTTCACTGTTGGTGATAAAAAGTAAGCCTAATGCTAAATTGTCAAAGTGACTCTTCTCCATGAATTCATAACCTGAGATGCATTGCCATTTAAGGTTAAACTGAAGTAGAGGGCTGGCATGTGCCTAGAAATACTTTTATTCCCCATAAATTACAAGTTAGTCAATTTGTGTCTTTTATAATGTTAGAATTATTTTTTGAGAGTCCATATATATATATATATATATATATG